ATTATAATCATATATAATCATCTTATCTTATCTTATATAATCATCTTATAACGAAGTTATAAGATGATTTATGTAGTAGCCTTGTTTTCATGCAGGGTTTCAGGAGCATTTCCAAAACAACCCTCTCATAAACGTTTGAGCAGGTTGCAAAAGTAGCGAAAAAAGTCTTTAGAGTTCCCCTGAACATGTCTAGTGCAGTGGCTTACTTTCGGTAAGAAATTCCCACGGGACTTGAATTATGTATAAAGTATGCTCCTGGTCTAGTACGTGTTTATAGACATAGTTTGACCGTAATTGTCTCTTCTTACATTAGAGTGGAATTATGATGACTCCTTAAAAAACCTTGCAAGGTGAAGTTAACCATCTCTGGGCAAAGTATCGGAAGGTCCTTTGCAAATGATACTATTTTCTTCATAGAGCATCGATCTGTTATGTAGTGAGGATTTGCGTAACTTGGAGTAATATTTGCAGTTATTTGTTGTTTCAAGAAGATGATTGAATGATGTGCGAACAATGTTGATCTCTGGTTTGATATTGCATATGTATAATTACTGTAGCTGTAATTTGGCGCGAAATATATATATATTTTTGGCGCCTTCTGCCTCAGCGCGCGCAGGTTTTGTGATCTCTTGTTCAATTTTAAATCATTGTTCTCATTCAAACATACATGATATTTCCTAAAAATCAAGGGTGAATGTCTAAGCTATCTCTAAGTCACTTCACTTTCTTTGAAGTCTTTAAGTGTGTTGCTATAATGCCAGAAGGGAATAATAATATTATTTATTATTTATAATTTATTTAATTATGATTAAATAATTACAAATAAGCAAGTCAAATACATTGTGTTCGTAAATTGTGACTATTAACACCACAAGATCAAAATGGAATAATCTCTATTTTCGAGTTAGACTATATTTTATGAAATATAGAGCTCGTGAAATAATCATGGTAAATACATTTGGACATAACTTCATTGTTCTCTTTTTCTCACAGTTTTTAGCCGCTCTTCTTGCTATTGTTTATATGGATTTGAATTTCAATCAAACGCCAGAGATAACCGTGCTGGATATGTATAATGAATACGTGTGGAAAGACAATACTGATCTGGTAAAGAAAGACGTCCTGCGCTTGCAAAGTGCACTGGGATTTGTCACTAACTACATGATTGGCCAAATGGAAATTTCCCGTGTCAGTAGCATTGCTGGGAGGGAACTGGAGCGAGATTTCACTTTGGAGGAGTTTCCTTACGAGCTGCTTCGACGGTAGAAGTTCCCCTTGGGGTATCTCGAACAACACATATATATTTATATCACATGCAAAAAGTGCCCCACAATAGAGGGATGTAAAGAGTTTTAGGCTGTAAATTTAATAGTTTTTGACAGTAGAGTAAGACTATTGTGCGAAAGCAATATGGATTCTTGGCTGGACTGTGCGATTATAAAATACAGAATGGCTATAAATATCCAAAAAGTTGGGAGCAAGATTAGCAACCGCTTGCGGCGTAGTCTTTGACGCTACACGAAGTTTCTCAAAGTGCCTAATCATTTTTATCACAGCACTCAGCAAAACTCCATGTGTTTTCACCATCTGTGACATAGCCCCCACTATATTTCATTGGCTATTCCCTTCTTCGAACACTATAAGACCGTGTCTCCAAAATCTCTAGCGCGCATTGCGCACGACAGATTTCAACTTGTTTCCGCAATTTTAATATGATGCGCCGTGTTCCTTTCTCCTTCGTTAACTCTTATATTCCTTAGACTGACCAGCATCTAATTTCTCCTGAGTTTTACTGCTGAACCAAACATTAAGGAGATGAGAATAAAGCAAATGATCGCAGGTCTAGATTGCTTTGCAAATTCTCCTTGTCAATGCTATAGTAAATGTATAGAGAACAAAATGGAGAATATGCACACTGATGCTAGGATGTAAAGGGTTAGTCTTAGGAGTTAATCAGTTTCTACGTTCTTTCCATCTGCAACATTGCGCACCTTTCAAACACCATTTGTAAAATTCTTGTCCAAAATTTCACCTGTTTCCAACTATCAATAACATGTTTCGCAGTTTAACGCAAAAACATTGAAACATTGGCACAACAATTTCAGCTACTTCCAACAGCCACAGAACAATTATTCATGTGTTCCGGCTTCTAAAAGAACTGTAACTATTTTGGTCAATTCACTATCTGTAAATTTTTGACGGGGGTATCATATTTTCAAAGAAAGCCATTAAT